ACGGCAATGTTTGGCTGGGTGTCCTAGACGCCAGCAATTTTGGCACTGACGTGGGGGAGGTTGGTATGGGCGGACAGGGAGGGATTCTCCTCCTATGTAGACGTTAAAGGGAAGGTCATGTCTACGGAAGGTAATTTTGGCGATGTTAGTGGGTTTCTTACGATGACCTCTGGGAGGGATGGAGTAACATTGTACTGATGTCGCATCGTAGTCTGTGAGACAGGCGAGTAACTCTTCTCCACAATCTGACCAATCTTTGTCATAGATTGGGCAGTTTTCTGGGGAGATAGATACGGTTCCAGTGCAAGTATTGAGAGTTGGATGGGGTTCTGCAAGGATAGGGTTACCATATAAATCAGTTAGTTTTGCTAATGCTATAGCTTGATTTTCTGATGTTACTGTGACAAGACGGGAGCGGTCGGGTCGGCTACGGAAAGAAACTTTACCTACTTGTTTTTGTAGACATTGTTGGAAGAGAAGGGTGTTGTCAGAGTAGGGAGCTGTGGGAGGGATCACGAAAAATCGGTCCCATTTAGCTGCACTAAAGAGAGTGTTCAAGATTGTTGTAGGGGTGGTAGAGGGGCGGGGGCGTGACGAAGATGGAGTAGTGTTGATGGAGGTAGTGTTACGGAGAGGTGGGCAATAAGGCTGTAAGGTAATAAGGGAGGATGGAGTGGTTGATGTTGGAGGTTGTGGGGGTAGAGGTGTTGAAGTTGAGCTTGTTGGGAGAATGGAAATGTTCCTTGAGGGTTGGTTGTTGGCTATTGTACTATTAGGTATTGATGAAGGGGTATTTATTACAGTGTTCGGAGCCGTGGTCAAAGGAGAGCCTGGGGTCTGGGAATCGGGTGGGTTTTCTTCGTTGGGGCTATTTGATAAAGGGGCAAGCCTCATTGCCCCTAATAGTGGAGATAGATTTTCATTATTGGCCATGGTAAGCCTGGATGATGTTGGGGATAAAAACAGTCCACCCCTCAGGGTCCCCTTGAGGGGTAAGGGCTAGAACTAAATCAGGGGAATACCGTGCCCATGGTTCCCTCAGGCCGTTCAGGACTGGCACTAAGTCAGCCTTTCATCCTTTCAGCACGGCTCTCACACCTTAGGAGGTGGATAGCAGAAGGGTTTGGTGAAGGGATAGAAACAAAAGTGGGAAGGGAAAAAGGCCATGCATAATTAGTTGAGTCGAGGGCTGAGTCCCAAGGTTGGGGAGTTCCCATCATTGGGTCCCAGTCTCCGCCTCCTAAGCCCCCCCACGACAACAACGGGCAAGGGATTGGGGGGGGACTGGTGTCTCAAGAGTAAGGGCAAAGGAAGGTGGAGGTGATTGTGGGGTAGGGGAAGAGGGGGTGGAACGTTTATTCTGTCTGTTACGGGTAGTACGGGGAGGGAGAAGGGAAGGTGTTGGGGTTGTAGTGCAGATTGGAGTGTCTGTAGTAGAGATTGGAGTGTCTGGATTTAGGATGGCAAAAGAGTTTAACTGGGAAAGGTAGGAGGTGGAAGTGGGGGAGTTAGATGGATGGGGGGGTGGGTTTAGGAGAAGTGGTAGAATGAGCAATATTACTTGAGTAAGGAGTAAGAGAGATACCTCGCCGACGTGCTTCCTGTCTGGCTTCACGTAGTGTGAGTCCAAGTCTCACTCTGAGAGTTGCTACCTCATACTCAAATTTGTAGGTGGGACAGCCCCTATAAATTACATTATGGGGGCCACCACAGTTGGCACATGTGCGTGATTGTGCAGAGCAGTTTGAGCGAGTATGGCCAGGTTGGGCACATAGTGGACATCTGGCTGTGGAACGGCAATGTTTAGCTGGGTGTCCTAAACGCCAACAATTTTGGCACTCACGTGGAGGAGGTTGGTATGGATGGACAGGGAGGGATTCTCCTCCTATGTAGACGTTAAAGGGAAGGTCATGTCTACGGAAAGATAGATTGGGCAGTTTTCTGGGGAGATAGATACGGTTCCAGTGCAAGTATTGAGAGTTGGATGGGGTTCTGCAAGGATAGGGTTACCATATAAATCAGTTAGTTTTGCTAATGCTATAGCTTGATTTTCTGATGTTACTGTGACAAGACGGGAGCGGTCGGGTCGGCTACGGAAAGAAACTTTACCTACTTGTTTTTGTAGACATTGTTGGAAGAGAAGGGTGTTGTCAGAGTAGGGAGCTGTGGGAGGGATCACGAAAAATCGGTCCCATTTAGCTGCACTAAAGAGAGTGTTCAAGATTGTTGTAGGGGTGGTAGAGGGGCGGGGGCGTGACGAAGATGGAGTAGTGTTGATGGAGGTAGTGTTACGGAGAGGTGGGCAATAAGGCTGTAAGGTAATAAGGGAGGATGGAGTGGTTGATGTTGGAGGTTGTGGGGGTAGAGGTGTTGAAGTTGAGCTTGTTGGGAGAATGGAAATGTTCCTTGAGGGTTGGTTGTTGGCTATTGTACTATTAGGTATTGATGAAGGGGTATTTATTACAGTGTTCGGAGCCGTGGTCAAAGGAGAGCCTGGGGTCTGGGAATCGGGTGGGTTTTCTTCGTTGGGGCTATTTGATAAAGGGGCAAGCCTCATTGCCCCTAATAGTGGAGATAGATTTTCATTATTGGCCATGGTAAGCCTGGATGATGTTGGGGATAAAAACAGTCCACCCCTCAGGGTCCCCTTGAGGGGTAAGGGCTAGAACTAAATCAGGGGAATACCGTGCCCATGGTTCCCTCAGGCCGTTCAGGACTGGCACTAAGTCAGCCTTTCATCCTTTCAGCACGGCTCTCACACCTTAGGAGGTGGATAGCAGAAGGGTTTGGTGAAGGGATAGAAACAAAAGTGGGAAGGGAAAAAGGCCATGCATAATTAGTTGAGTCGAGGGCTGAGTCCCAAGGTTGGGGAGTTCCCATCATTGGGTCCCAGTCTCCGCCTCCTAAGCCCCCCCACGACAACAACGGGCAAGGGATTGGGGGGGGACTGGTGTCTCAAGAGTAAGGGCAAAGGAAGGTGGAGGTGATTGTGGGGTAGGGGAAGAGGGGGTGGAACGTTTATTCTGTCTGTTACGGGTAGTACGGGGAGGGAGAAGGGAAGGTGTTGGGGTTGTAGTGCAGATTGGAGTGTCTGTAGTAGAGATTGGAGTGTCTGGATTTAGGATGGCAAAAGAGTTTAACTGGGAAAGGTAGGAGGTGGAAGTGGGGGAGTTAGATGGATGGGGGGGTGGGTTTAGGAGAAGTGGTAGAATGAGCAATATTACTTGAGTAAGGAGTAAGAGAGATACCTCGCCGACGTGCTTCCTGTCTGGCTTCACGTAGTGTGAGTCCAAGTCTCACTCTGAGAGTTGCTACCTCATACTCAAATTTGTAGGTGGGACAGCCCCTATAAATTACATTATGGGGGCCACCACAGTTGGCACATGTGCGTGATTGTGCAGAGCAGTTTGAGCGAGTATGGCCAGGTTGGGCACATAGTGGACATCTGGCTGTGGAACGGCAATGTTTAGCTGGGTGTCCTAAACGCCAACAATTTTGGCACTCACGTGGAGGAGGTTGGTATGGATGGACAGGGAGGGATTCTCCTCCTATGTAGACGTTAAAGGGAAGGTCATGTCTACGGAAAGTAATTTTGGCTATGTTAATGGGTTTCTTTCGATGACCTCTGGGGGGAATGGAGTAGCATTGTACTGATGTCGCATCATAGTCTGTAAGACAGGCGAGTAACTCTTCTCCACAATTTGACCAATCTTTGTCATAGATTGGGCAATTTTCTGGGGAGATTGAAACAGTTCCAGTGCAAGTATTGAGGGTTGGATGGGGTTCTGCAAGGATGGGGTTACCATATAGATCAGTTAGTTTTGTTAATGCTATAGCTTGGGATTCTGAGGTTACTGTGACGAGAGGAGAGCTGTTGGGTTGGCTACGGAAAGAGACTTTGCCTACTTGTTTTTGGAGACATTGTTGGAAGAGAAGGGTGTTGTCAGAGTAGGGAGCTGTGGGAGGGATCACAAAAAATTGGTCCCATTTGGTTGCGCTAAATAGCGTATTTAAGATTGTTGTAGAGATAGGGGTAGTAGAAGAGCGGGGGCGTGACGAAGAGGGAGTAGTGTTGAGGGAGGTAATGTTATGGAGAGGTGGGCAATAAGGCTGTAAGGTTTTAATAAGGGAGGATGGGGTAGTTGATGTTGAAGGTTGTGGGGGTAGAGGTGTTGAAGTTGAGCATGTTGGGAGAGTGGAAATGTCTCTTGGGGGTTGATTGTTGACTACTTTACTAGTAGGCATTGATGAGGGGGTAGTTGTTGCAGTGTTCGGAGCCGTGGTGAAAGGAGAGCCTGGGGTCACGGAATCGGGAGTATTTGCATCGTTGGGGCTATTTGATAAAAGGGCAAGTTTCAGGAGTTACATCTTCATAATTGGCCATGGTAAGCCTGGAGTATGTTGGGGATAAAAACAGTCCACCCCTCAGGGTCCACTTGAGGGGTAAGGGCTAGGTAACTAAATCAGGGGAATACCGTGCCCGTGGCTCCCTCAGGCCGTTCAGGACTGGCACAAAGTTAGACTTTCATCCTTTCAGCACGGCTCTCACACTTTAGGAGGTGGATAGTAGAAGGGATTGGTGAAGGGACAGAAACAAAAAGTAGGAAGGGGAAAAAGACCATGCAAAATTAGTTGAGTCGAGGGCTGAGTCCCAAGATTTGGGAGTTCCCTATTATTGGGTCCCAGTCTCCGCCTCCTAAGCCCCCCCATGACAACAACGGGCAAGGGATTGGGGGGTAAATCTGCATGAAAAACATGTTTAAAACAGGTCTAAATATATATACATATATTTGTCTGAGAATTGTAACTAATAACATAAAAAGAATATGGTGCTGCAACTTCCCACTTCAATCATTTGAGCGAATTTAACACCTTGACCAATGGGGCCATTATACAGCCAGCAGTCTCAAAAATAAATAGTTCTAATTCTCACTCTCCCGCACTTTTGCTTGATGATGATAGTAATAATACAAATGCAGGTTCCTTTAATAAAATAAGTA